GCAAATAATAGGTTAAAATCCCTACTTATCAGGAAGCAAGTTAGTTTTTCTAACATGAGGGGGAGACAGGATAAATAGTTGAGAAAAAATTACGTGGAAGGAATTATCATTTGTACATCTAGATCCTCGAATAAAATAATATGAACTTGAAGTTCATAAAAGAATAATTTATTTTGCAAAGCATGCTAGACGCATTTGCTGACCCAAAGAAAGTAACTATATTCTCATTGCAAATGCTCATATTAAGTCCTAGAAGGACAAAGTGATAATAAAGAAGGCAAGTGATATAGAAGAACACATGACATAACACTTTATAAAATCTCATAAGAGATTCAGGTACCTGAATATATGAATGAGATCTCTATGTTATGTCTTTATGAAAAATAAGGAGGTTGGAACCGATATAAAATGTTTGCTGGCGACATCTATATAGCTCTAAATGTATATGAGGATCTTAAGTCTAGAGAAACAATTCAAGTATAATTGGTTTCATATGAAAGACATGTAGTTTTGGCTTTGTAGTTCAAACACTTGAAAGTATAAAGTTAATGGTGTGTGCAATTACCTTATCTATCTTATATGTCTAGCATGATATAAAAACTTGATATGCATCTAAAGTCCATTCATATGGCTTATATGATTTAACTTATATGACAATCCCTGAAGGATTTAAATTGCTTAAAGCATATAGAATTCTTGGGCATGAAGTAGTACATCCTAAGTGCAATTTGTGCATATTTGTATCTTACTATAACTATAAGCATGATAATGTGATAGCGAGGATTTTCAAGGTGCAACATATTCATTGGAGTTAATATGGCTGATTTATTCATCAATCTCTGCCAACGTCAATCTTCAAAAAGCTAGTGCATAAGATTGGAATGTGAAGTCTCAAGGATGTGAATTGATGCTCTCATCTGGGGGAGTTAATACGTGTTTTACTCTTTTTTCCTTACAAGGTTTTGTCCCAATAGGTTTTCCTTGCAAGGTTTTTAACGAGGCAACCAAAAGGCGTATTGTTAGATATGTGTACTCTTTTTCCTTCTCTAGAATTTTTTTTCCCACTAGGTTTTATTTTTAGTTAATGTTTAAATGAGGCACATTATTTGTTGAATAAACATTCAAGGGGGAGTGTTATAAATAGAGTTTTATTTAAGGTGAATGTCTATATTTACAGAGATTGTAGGAATTTTACTTGGTGGCTAAGTCACTCTTTCTCTATAAATAGAAGGGTCATATTCCATTGTAATTCATCCCAAATTAATAAGAATTCTCTCTCTATTTTTCTTTGTAATACTCTTCTTCTTCTTTTATTATTTCATAACACAACATTATTTTTACCGCAATGGTCTATATATTCTCACTGGAGAGAACGTTGCTACCTCACTAGAACCTACTGGAGCTTTTTATATGCATTAAATTTGAAAATGACATTTGCTAGGTTTCTAATTAAATTGATAAACATATATAACCCTATTAGTTAGCCTCCGTCAAGCTGTTCATTGATTAGTATTGCCCAGACGTGGATGTAATGTACCCCACAGGGTTCAATTGAACCCAATATTTTTGGCGCAAAATATAAATTTATGTGTAAAAATTTATTAATATTACAATATATAGTAATATGAACCCATAACTTTAAAAATATAATGGGTTCAATGCTAAAAAATTTAAAACTTAAATCCTAGATCTGCCTCTAGTATTGACTTATTATCGAGAGTTGGTATTTACCAGTAAAATGATACAGTTAAATTTATTCATAGTTTTATAGATAAGTGAATCAATTTGATCTCAAAAATGATAAATGAATTTAAAAAGAATGTAAGATTTAGGGTTGAAATCAAGATAAGACAGCTATAATCCTGTTTTCGGGAGCAGAACCTTCGGAGGCAGCAGTAACAATACTAATAAGCAAGAAGATAAAATATTATTGAGCTTTGAACAGCGTATAGCATAAGTTTGTCAGATAGTTCCTCCTTTTTACAATGGTTGTTGAGCTCATTATTTATAGTTGCACCTAGGGAACAAGGTCCTAGGATCAAGCCCCGAATGTGTAACTGTAAGCAGTGAATGTCATATTCTCTGTGACGGATTACGTACTTAATGTTATAAAATATTCTTCATTAAATGCTATCGGGTGACAGATATTGATTTCGCCTTTATGAACATCATTCCCTTCGAGAACAAACGATATTGTTGCCTTCGGACCTGATTGCCTTCTGCATTTGGCTCCACGTGTCGCTTTATTATGTGAGCATTTAATATGAACATATTTTATCCTATACAGATGATGGGTACTTGGAAGTTGGACATGGTTCCAAATTTCTTTGTACTTCTTTGCACCAATACATTTTAATTTTCCTGCTCTTGCCTTGCACACTAAATTTACGGAAAAGGTCCAAATATGCCCTTGTACTATGCGAAATTGAGCACATTTGCCCTTCGTTAATACTTTAGCCCATATATACCCTTACCGCCACATAATTGATCCATATATGTCCTTACCGCCACATAGTTGGTCCACATATGTCCTTTTCGAAACAAAATCCACACAAACTAATTAGCTCTTTCTTTAATTGTATTATTACAAATACTATCTCCTTTTTAATAGTACTTTTTTTCTTTACCTTTCTCTTTTCTTTCTTCTTTTTTCTTTTCTTCTCTTTTTTTCCCTTTTTCTTTCTCCCATATCCGATTTCTTTCATTGCTGATGCCTTCTCCATTTACGTCACCAATTTCTTTATTCCTAAAAGTCAAACCTACACCACCAATACCTTCCAAGCAAGAAGGCTCTGGTTCTTCTGAAAAGAAGGAGATGAAAATCGTCGGAGAAATTTTTTCGGTGGTGTTAATTTGGTGAAGGTAGGATATGGTTATTCAGATTTTGAAGGTGTTGTTCACCGTGTAGCTTCAAATCTGAAGGGAACAAGACCATCAAAACCCAAATAACCATACTGCCTTCACCCAATTAACACCACCAAAAAAATTTTTCCGACAATTTTTATCTCCTTCAGGTCAGAAGAACCTGTGGGGTTTGTGATAGTAAAATTAGCAGGAAATCATGAGTTTTGTCAAGTTAAATTGGTGACGAAAATGAAAAAGGTATCAGCAATGAAGGAACTCGGATATGGGAGAAAGAAAAAGGAAAAAAAAGAGAAGAAATGAAAAAAGAAGAAAGAAGAGAGAAAGGTAAAGAAAAAAAAGTACTAATAAAAGGGAAACAGTATTTTTAATGCATTTTAGTACAATTAACGAAAGAGCTAATTAGTTTGGGTGGATTCCGTTTCAAAAAGGACATATATGGACCAGCTATGTGACGGTAAGGGCATATATGGGCTAAAGTATTAACGAAGGACAAATGTGCTCTATTTCATATTGTACAAATACATATTTGGACCTTTCTGCTAAATTTATGCATATATATAGGGAAAAAGGCCAAATTTGTACCTCTACTATTGAAAATTATCCACGTTAATACCCCGTTCTACTTTCCGGCTAAAATAATACCTGTCGTTACTAAAGTAGGAGAATTTGTACCTAAATCTAACGGATCTCCTACGTGGCAACCGGGTCCCCCATAATAATGTGCCAACTAGACTTTTTTTACCCGCCCACCTTTTTATAACCCGTCCCACTTTATAATAACCCGCCCCGCCACACTTTTAATTTGTTAATTAGCCTATTAAAATATTCCCAACCCCGGTCAAAACATTTCACCTTCATTTACAGAAAAATCTCTCACCTTCTCTCTTCACTGTAAAAATCGTCTTCATCGTGGATGCATACGAAGGTACCTATTTCCTTGTTAAAATTAGTAAATCGTCATTTCTTTGGTTTGTTTTTGGTATGGACGGAAGCATATCGTTGCGTTTAGTTTTGATTTTTTGTTTCTTTGACTAGGGTTTAGACTGATTCATGTAGATATGTATTTTTTTAGTTAGGAGGTGTGTCTGATTTTTGTTGTTTTTGTTTGCATGTTGTCTGTTCATACTCGATTTAACCCTAAATTTATTTTCCTTATTTTGGTCTTTATTACTGGTGGTTTAGGGTTTGTATTTTGTAGTAGAATCATCCCTATATGGTATTTTCTTTTTGTTTCGGTTTAGGGTTTCAATTTTTGTGGTCCTACATATATGGTATTTGACAGAAAAGGGGTCCCCTTTATGTTGGATCGGTTTCTTTGATGCTCTTATTTTGGGTGTTTGGGACCCTTATTTCTTATACACATGAGTTGAGTTAAGAGACAAGTGGGTCAGAATCTTGTTTTTTTTTTTTTTTTGTTTTTATACTTCGTCCCCCATCATCTCTTTGTTTATTGTAGTTGTGTCTTCATTGTGGCATCCCACTATTTTTTTTTTGTTTATGTATCTTTGTCTTCACTTTATGTGGTTCTTATGTCTTTATTGTATGGTCCACTTTGTCAGTATATTATATAGGTTGTAATGTTACTTTTTTTCCTTTCTTATTCTGTAGCTTATATGCAATGGTCTTATTGGATCTGATCTTTCATTATGGTGGTGATTGGATATACAATCCACAAGTCTTATACTCAAGGAAGCTTGTGCACACTATTAAAGGTTTTAACTCTGACCAATTGTCTTATAACTATTTAGTAAATGAATTTACTTCTAAGTTGGGGTTTATTGGAGTTCAACAAGTGATTCATTAGAAAGACTGCATACACAAAAAGAGAGGAAGATATCTGATAAGTTGACTGATTATAAGGAGTTACACAAGTCCATGACATTCAAAGACATTCTAGAAGCTAGAAAATTCATCAACATGTATTCCAAAGCTTAGGTACAGATGTTTAGATGAAGACCGACCCTTTTCTGTCATATTTCCAAAGACTCTAAAGGTCCTGGTGTTAAATCAAGACTTTAAAGGAAGAACATAAGTGTAATACTACATATGATAACTACAGTGTAAATGCAAAAACCATAGCTGCTTACGTTAAGAGAGGGCTTCAAGATAATCCTAAGATTAAAATTAAAGAGATGATGGCAAGTGTAAAAGTTGCATTTAACATTAATGTTAGTCATTCAAAGTGTAAGAGAGCCAAGAGAATGATATTGGAGAAAATAGAGGGTAGTTTTGCAGATGAGTACAACAAGCTTGAGGCTTATGCTAATGAATTAAGGTCAAGTAATCCAGGAACAGATGTGGTGATTAATATTTCAAAGGATGCACTTAGTGAAGGTAAAAGAATATTCCTAAGAATGTACATATGTTTTCATGCATTGAAAATGGGGTTTAAGAGTGGGTTGAGACCATTCATTGGCTTGGATGGAACCTTTTTGAAAGGAAAATACAAGGGTCAATTGTTAGTAGTTGTTGCTCAAGACTCCATGAGGCACTTTTATCCCTTAGCTTGGGCTGTTGTTGATAAAGAGACCAAAGTGACATGGAGTTGGTTCTTAAGGCTACTACAACATTCATTGGACCTCAAAATGGGAGAAGGGATCACACTTATTTCAGATATGCAAAAGGTATGAGCCCTTCAATTCTTAAGTTTACTGTTTTATTTATTTTACTGTTGAATCTCATCAATTTAATTGATTCATCTCATCATTTAGTTTATTGTTGCATCATTTCATTACTGTTGCATTTAGTTTGCGTTTGCATTTAGTTAACTGTTGCATTGGTCCACTGTTGCATTTAGTTTACTTTTTCATTAAACTTTAGTTTACTGATGCACTTCTTTACTGTTTTCCATTTTAAGGGTTTGATTGATTCAGTCCACTTGGTTCTTCCTAAAGCACACCATAGATATTGTGTAAGATACATAGAGGCAAATTGGTGCAAAAGATGGGGACATGGGGAATATAAGAAATACTTATGGTGGGCTGCATGGAGCACATATGAGGAAGATTTTAAAGACCAATTAAGGAATATGGCACAAGTGGATGAAGATGGTAAGGAGGTGGTTGAAGATTTGATGAAGTACCCACCTGAAAGTTGTGTAGTGGAAGTTTTCGTGAATTTGAAGTTTAGAAGGCTTGAAATTACTGCTACGACGGTACTGTTGTTATCCTTTGCTGTTGATATAATTACTGCTATGACAGTATATTTTTTTGCTGGTTGCATCTCTTTTTTGCTGGTTGATGTAATTAAAACAGTTGGTGTTATTAGTTTGCTGTCAATGTTAGTAACAGTTAGTGTTTAATGTTTGTTGGTGTTATGAATGTTATGACAGTTGATGTGGTACATGTTAAAATAGTTGGTATCAATGTTAGTAACAGTTAGCTGTTAATTTGCTGTCAATGTTAGTAACAGTTGGTACATGTTAAATGTTTATGTTAAATGTTATTAACAGCTTATGTTCCATTTTCTGTAGTGTCCTTTACTGTCAATGTTAGTAACCTCCTGCTGTGTTAAATTTGTGTTAAATTTGAATAATTTATGTTAAATTTTAGTAACCTGTTGCTGTGTAAATGTTATTAACAATTTGTGTTAAATTTAAACACATATGGGTGCTATAACAGGATGTGATTAACACCTACTAACCTGGTGATTTAGTGTTACTAATTCGATTAACTATTACTAACCGTTATTAACCGTCATATTCATTTCACTATTTTGATATGTTCTCATTGAGGTTGTAAATTTGGTCGAAGACATTGAGGTAATATGTTCCCACAGAAAACAGAAGCTAAAAGTGACTAGTTCAGTCCAAAAAACACAGAAAACAGAAGCTAAACATAAGGTAAAATTCAGTCCAAAAAACAGTTACATGAAAATCTACTTAATTGACTACACAATGATAATTAACTAGTTCCCTACCAAACTAAACAATACATGTCAATTGACTACACAATGATAATTAACTAAACAATCAACTAAACAAGGAAGAACCATAATGAAATCTACTTCATTATCCAGGCAGCAAAGAATCCAACAAACATTGCCCAAGAACCAATTATCACCATTATTAGTTGTACAACTCTTTCTTCCAATTTTTTGACTTTAGCAGCTTCAAATTTGTTCATGGCTTCCATGTCAATTAATTTTTCTCTCAACTTGTCTCTTTCAATCGTAACGGCATTCAAAGACAACTTCAAGTCTCTTATTTCAAGCTGGGAATCATCCGCGGATATTTCATCTTCGCATTCGAAATAACCACATGAATTATTCTGCCAAATAAATATTTAAAAGATTCAAATTTTTTTCAAATCAAAACAGCTAGAAAGATTATAAAGATTAGACAAATCCACATCGACACCTTACCTTAGGGCGTGCACATTTGTAAAATTTCCTACCGGGATTAGAGGGAGTGGTTGATGTGAAATGGTTGGCAATAATACCACATCGACACCTTCTCTGAGAAGAAGTACTGCTCTGCGACATTGATGAAGATGAAAGAGGATAAAGTCGAGCATAGGAGAAGAAAGAGAATTGAGGGAATTTGTGCCTGAACCCTATTTTTATTCGACTGAAATTGTTATGAGGGGGAGTTATTATAAAGTGGGACGGGGCGGGTTATTATAAAATGGAGCGAGTAAAAAAAGCCTAGTTGGCATATTATTATGGGACTCCCGGTTGCCACGTAGGAGGTCCGTTAGATTTAGGTACAAATTTTTCTATTTTAGTAATGACAGGTATTATTTTAATCGAAAAATAAAACGGGGTATTAATATAGATATTTTCAATAGTAAAGGTATAATTTTGACATTTTTCCCATATAATATATGTATGTAAACTTTAAATAGGTATATTTGCTAGCTTTAATGAAAATTTATTTGGTAGAACAGGTCTTATGGTGGCAAATGATGAGATGGTCCAGTGTTATTAAATGGGACACATATAAGACAATGAATTTATACCAAAGTTTCAGAGTATATCTTTGAATGATGATGAAATTCCAGATCTGTTTCAGCGTACGTAGTCCACTGCATCGAGTAGCAGCATTTGCCAACTATAACCAATCTTATCTCCAAGCCGACAGAGAAAACACTTGCCACTCTCTCATGCTGCCACGTACGTTCATGTCGACTGTGCTTAATTCACGTGACACCTGTGAAGCTCTGGTGCCATCAGCCATGCAGCAGCTCCATTTCTTCCCTATATCAATCCCGTTTTTGCACTCAAATTTGAAACCATTTACGCTCCGTATTTTCAACAGATCGAATTGCGTACTTCAGCTTTTAATTAGTTTTACTCTCTGTTCGTGAAGAAATGTCGCACTACGAGAACCAATATAGTGCAGGCCAGGCCCTGCAGACGGATGAATATGGCAATCCCATCCGCCAAACTGACGAATATGGTAACCCAGTGCATCACACTGGAGGTACCATGGGAGACTATGGAACCACCAGAACAGGAGGTGCCTACGGAACTCATGCTGGCGGTGGCGCCGGCCACACCGCTGGCATACTTGGTGGGGAACACCAGACGGATGAATATGGCAATCCCATCCGCCAAACTGACGAATATGGTAACCCAGTGCATCACACTGGAGGTACCATGGGAGACTATGGAACCACCGGTACAGGAGGTGCCTACGGAACTGATGCCGGCGGTGGCGCCGGCCACACCACTGGCATACTTGGTGGTGGCGCTGGCCACACCACTGGCATACTTGGTGGGGAACACCGTCCCGGCCATGAACACGGTACTCTCGGTGGCATGCTCCACCGTTCTGGAAGCTCCAGCTCCAGTTCTGTAAGTAATCTTTTCCAAACTTATTTTTTCAAGTGTTAGCTACTTTCTTTGTACTCCCGTGATGATAGTCCCTCTGTTTCGATTTTGATGAGTTAGTTTAATTCGGCATAGAGTTTAAGAAGAGAATATGAGATTTTTGAAACTTGTGGTAATAAAAATTTTGTGGAGCTAATGTGTGTTTGTAATGTTTGTGAAAGTTTAAAATGTAAAATGGGTAAAATGAAATGGGTAAAATGAAACCACAAAAATTTTGTGGAGCTAATGTGTGTTTGTAATGTTTGTAAAAGTTTAAAATGTAAAATGGGTAAAATGAAATGGGTAAAATGAAGAGTTTGTTTGAATTATTTCTAAATTTAGAAATAAGTTATTTATTTTGGAATAGAAAGTACCACCTCGAATTTGAAACGGAGTTCGACTTTGAAACGGAGGGAGTAGCCTTTTTTTTTTGTAAAATTAAATCTCAAATGCAAAAAGAGCTTCTTATATGGATGGTGTACATAATGCATCGGCGGTGTAATTCAGCATATTATTGTTGTATGTCTCTCTTAATTATATTTTTTTTTTAAATGTGTGTGTTTTGCAGTCAGAGGATGATGGACTAGGCGGAAGAAGGAAGAAGAAAGGGATGAAGGAGAAGATTAAGGAAAAATTGCCAGGAGGTCACAAAGACGATCAGACCCATTCAACTGCAACAACTACGACTACCGGTTATGGTATGGAAGGGGAGCATCATCGTGAGAAGAAGGGAATCATGGAAAAGATTAAGGAGAAGCTTCCTGGCCACCATGGCCCTGGCCAACACTAGAAAATCTGCTGCGAAACAATAAATACCTTTAAAACATGTGTGTTTTGTATTTCAAGGTTGTTTCTAGTTAGTCTTTGCTGAGTTCTGAAGCGTGGCGCTATTTGAGTAAAGCCATGGTAGACTCTTTAAGTGCTAGTGGAAGCAGAGTCTTACATGTAATAAGTACGCCGTAATGTAATAAGCACGTTGTTTCATGTACCTCGTTATAGTGATGTGTCGTGAATGTATTTAAATTCATATGAACAACTTCTCTTTCTTGCCTGGGATTCCGAGGTAACCTTTAAGGGTTCGATCGCATGGATGATGATTTTGACAGCAAATACTACAAAACAGACTTCGTATCGAAAGTAAAGGAACAAGGACTGCCAAACAAAAAAAAAAGGGTGTGGGGGTGGGGTAAAGGGGGGGGGGGGGTGTCTGATGGAACGGCCATTAGTTTCCCATCTCTTATTTTAATAATCAGTGATGCAGAAGAATTGTAAAACAGTGATGGAACTAATATTAGTTTCCCATCTCTTATTTCAATCAGTGATGCAAAAGAATTGGTACATGAACAGACGAGGAGCACGTGAGAAATGAGAATAAACCAATACCTAGAAGCAGTGCTAGGTACATTTGTTTTTAAGATGAAAATCGTTGTCCTTCAGCTGCTGAAGTTAGATTACAAGGGCGAGTAAAAATTGGACACACCAAAGTTTGCTTAAGTTATTAGATTAGAAGAGTAAAAATTGGGCACACCAACGTGAGAAAGGATACTGAGGTCCAGCTGAACGCTCGGCCTTGTACCATAGGTATGAGGCAATTGCTTCGATTTCTGCCTAAACATGTTCTGTGACCAGATAAGAGTACGTAAAATTACCTGCTTACCTGCATTGTCTACCCAGAGGAGCCTTTCCTGGTTCCCAGGAATAGCATGTTTTCTACTAGGATAGTTCTCCATAGAGTTTAAGCCACAGATGGGATCAGGGTTGAATCATGTCTGCACCAGCATTAAGTTCCAATTTCAACATATCCCAGCAATTTAAGCAACACGGGTATCAGAGTTGAGTCTGATGGAACAGTGCAAGAGGGGGTGAATTGTAAGGGTGAATTGTAAGTTTTCTTTTCTTTTTCGAGGTGGTCGATTAGCTTGTGTCCTTGTCGATTGGTCTTTTGAAAACTGAATATGAAAAATAAATTGTAAAAAGTAAATGACACAGAATGATTTTTTATACTGGTTCAGATTCAAAATGAATCTTACGTCCAGTCCCAAGGGTGTTCTCATTCAAGTATGAAGTGGCTTAGTACAGATGGATTGATGTTGTTATACACCAACAGCTTTGTCACTTTGTCCTTCTCTTTATGCTCGATACAATGCCTCGCCAGTGTTCTTTTCTCTCTTTCTTTTCCTCTTAGTTATACAAGAAATCTATAGTAGACTACAGTGCTTGTTTGAGGTAGAACAAAGAGATTAAAATTGGTTCGTTGTTTGAAGTGGAACAAAGAGATTGAAATTGGTTCGATTAAAGTATGCGTCCTTGGCATCTTCTGTAGAATATATATATATATATA